TTGAACGATTCCAAAAAAGGATAAGAAAAAAAAAAAAAAAAAAAACCATCTGAAAGGATCTTTTCAGATCTCATAGTTGGTTTTTTTTTACCTTTTTTTTTCGCTGCATCCCCTCGTTCCCCTCCAATTACTGGAAGCTACGTAAATCTTCCCAAAGATCCTCATCAGTTCTTTTTCGACCACTCATTGGTCGTTTTCTCATCCGATCACCTTTCCATTGTCTATTGAATTTACGTCCAATACCACCATCACTCTCACCACTATCATCATAATCAAAATTTGGATTTGTATCCAAATCATCAGAAGAATTAGAAATCATTTCTACATTTACTTGACCCTTACGACGACGCTCTGCATCCAATTGTGCTTTCTTTTCTTTAGCATACAACATGCTCATCAATTCATCTGATGGAGGTTGATCAAGATTTACTTTTATTCCAACTGAGGCATTTTGTTCAGCATCTTGATCATCTAAAATTAAATCTACTGCTGTATTTACATCAATATAAATATGAGCAGTATTTCTAGATTTAAGTTCAACAACAAAACGAAATGGTGAAGCATGTGGCCTCTCTAAAATAGTTTTTTTAGATTTATTTCGTAATCGACGTTCTTCATTACTTAAAAAAGCCTGAGCGGCACCACCAACAAGAAGGTTAAGAGATTGATTTTGTAATAAAGATGCAAGACTTTCTCCATGACAAGTTGCAATAAGATGAACACCTCGTTGAGAAATAGACCAAGCTGCTTCAGCTTCTGAAGATGTAGCTATTTCATCTACTATAACATATTCAGGAGAATGATTTTGTAATATTTGTGTCATTATATTTCCTTGTTCTTCACGTTTAGCTACTTGAATACGACGACAACGACCTAAAAAAGGTAATGGAACTGGACTATCCCCTCCAATTTCATTTGAAGTATCAACAACCATAACACGTGGTTTTGAAATTTCACGTGATAAAGAAGCTGCAAGATCACGTAATAAAGTTGTTTTCCCAATACCTGCTTTAGATAAAATTAAAACACTACCTTTATGAGCTAAAGGAAGAAGAGCTCTAGCAACATTAGGTACAAATCTTCCTACACGAATAGTTAATCCTAAAGCTTCACCACGACGTCCACGCCATACAGAAACACGATGAGGAGTATTTTGAATACATCCTCTTCCATCATCACCAAAACGACCTACTTTATCAATAGTAAACTGAAGTTCACTAACAGATGGAGAAGGAAGTTGTAATACCCAATTTCCTCCTCTTATTTCCATTTCTTGACCAATATGAATAAAAAATTCTTCTACCTCTGAAGGTACAAAGGTTGGATGAGAAACTATAGTAGAACGTAAAGAAGGTGCTAACATAGATAATAAATGTTTAACTTCTGCATGAGATGTACATAAAGCTAATCCAACTAAATCTTTATTAATTATATGTTCCATTTTTAAAGCATCTTCTTTACACATAGCAGTTGCTAAAGATTGATGAAACGTTTTCCAGGCTTCACGTAAATTATCGTTTAACCATATAGCATTATCAGTTTGATATTGTTCTAAATCCATAATCTGACTTTTAAGATAATTAAGTGGCATAGCTGTTGGAGGTTGACGTTGTGATGCATTTTCTGGTAATCCTTGATCAGCACGCGTTAAATATTCTGTATTAAAACTTACACGACGAGATCGTATAAAACGTTTTGAATGAAAAGTAGGCCTAAAGTAAAAGAAAGATTCTTTTATTGGCCTTAAGGTAGATAGTTGACATCTTGAAAGTATCATTACTATCCCCACCAAAATTAACCACACAAAAACAACAAACTAGAAGCAGTACTACTAGTACCACTACTACTATTTCTAGGACTATCTTTGGTCACTCTCTCCTACCTAAAAATCTCCCCAATTTCAACTATGGAGAGCACACCTAAAATAAATGAAGAACAAATATTTAAAAAAAAAAAGAGAAACAATAAGAACAATACACAACATCAGGATTAGTATAAAGGGTTTATATATTACACATAGAAAAGTATTGGGAATTTTATTATTGATTTTATTCAAAAATTCCTCATCTTCATAAGATGGAAAATAAATTACGTTATTAATAATAATAATAATATTTATTATTAAAATAGTCAAAGAGAGACAACAAGAAAAAAAATTACACCAAAAATAATTCTCAAACTTCACATAAAATCATCATCATCTGGCACATGGTCTTGATTGGTACGCATTTTACTTGGTTCCATAAGAGATGAATAAGATTTTAACTCTGCTGCCTTCTTACGAGCTTCCATCTCTTCCTTTTCTCGTTGTTGCTTTTCTAGCAATGCTTTGCGTTCTTCTCGTCTTTCTTCAGCATCACGTTGTTCCCTTAATTCTTGAAAATCTACTCCATCCTTTGTTACCTTGGTTTTTTCTAACTTATTAAGAATAGCATTATTTTTCTTTTCAACAGTATAATAACGACGCAGAGATTCCTTGTGAAAACCCACCTGTCCAACATCCATGCCGTTTGTTTTTAAAAGATTACTCCAAGGAGTATATACCACTCGAACATGATCCAGTTTACATCCCTCAATACTATTTGCCTTAGTCAATTGACAGCATTCTTCAATCATTTCAGGGGTTAAGTCATCCATACCCTTTCCCTTAGGCAAACGTACATACACATGGGCACTACTGTGGTTATCCACATGGAACCAAACATCTTCAGGCCATCCATATTTAATAAGTAACTCATTTTCATACTTGTCTCGACCCATATAGCAAATAACTGATGGGTCAGAAGCAAGGGTGAAGTAGTAAACCATTTGTCTACCTTTGGTTACTTCACAATTCCTTTTCTTTATCTTCTTAAAGACCTCTCTTGTGTAACTAAGATAAGAAAAACAACAAAAAAAGCAAACCAAAAGAAAAAAAAAAAAGCAACACATAAAGAAAAACAGAAAAAAAGAAGGATGAATCCACAAACCCACCCCACCCATACACACATACAAAAAAAAAAAAAGAAAAAGATTACATACTTCACATAAATGCAAAACAAATACGAAAAACAAACCCCACGAAAAACTCTATACAAAAAAAAAAGCAATCAACGTAGAACCACAACGTTGACAAATAAAGAAAAGAAGGAGAGAGAAAATAACGTCCTCTTGTAATAATTTCAGTACGGCATTAAAGATATAATATTATATTCACGTCGTCTTGGTGTTGCACTACGTCCTCTTCCTCTTCTAATAATTTCTTGCGGATGGTTAATACTTTCTTGTCCCTTATATCTCTTCATATTACCATTATATGAACTTTTCTGGGACAATTTTGTAGAGTCTGAGGATGCGTAACCTACAGACCAATTACTCTGATTTCTATATTTAACATCAGGAGACTCATACGCATCAACACCAAATATAAAGTGAGATTCATGCCGATTTGCAGCAGTGTCCCAGTGATGTGGAGGCGATACCATTCTAATACCTATTCGTCTCTCTTTAGCACTGGCTGAACGTGGTGCAGGAGTATGACGACGACCAGTACGCAACGGTTTTTTCACCATAGGTGGTGGAATTAGACGTTCCTTTGGTGGTTCTTCCACTGGACTAAGTGAACCTAGTGAGAGATGACTACGTTTCAATGGACTTGGGGCTGATCGTGGTCTTGAAACACTCTCTTCTGGTTTCTCAAATGGTGGTTGCTTACATCTCTGACGTGAGAAACGAAAGGGTGATTCCTCCTTCACGGCCTGAGCGGCATTATCAAGGTGAGAGAGAGCCTGTTTTGGTGTTCGCCGCCGCACTGGTAGAGACTCGGGCTCCTCTGGGGTGACAGGGTTGCCGTTGTCGTATTGATCGGCCTCGCCCCGACGCTTGCCTGGCGGGGGCTGCCAGCTGCGGTCGGGCTCGTCGGGGTAAAGTGAGAAGGGGGTGTTGGGGAGACTCCGCTCCGCCAGGCGGGCCATCTCCGTTCGCCGGTGGGGGTGGGCGGGAGGCTCGCCGCCCATCGCCGCGAGGAAGAGGGAGCCGACCAGCTGGCGCCGACCGCGACGATCACAACCAGCTCCTGACTTCCGCATCTACATAGTAAAAGATAAAGAAGAAGAGGGAAAGATAGACAAAGGAAGATTGTAGAAAGAAAAAAAAAAGAATATGTACTTATTATCAGGGATGGTGGGGGGTGGGGAGATGGGGGAGAATAACTCTCAACGCAACATCTTTTTTTTTTTTTTACTGTTCGTATTACTAATATATTTTCTTCCCACTTTCCGTTTGTTCCCTGAAAAGCAAGAAAAATGAAAAAAAAAAAGCACTGGTTTCTGGAGACTAAATTACCAATAAGACGATTATATGCTGTCTCCCATCCATTGATATAGGGAAAGAAAGAGAAAGAAAAAATCTAAACAACAAAAAAAAAAAAAGAAACGGTGTGAGGAGGAGAAATACGTTAAATCAGATGTATTTGTAGAGACTATGCAAATATGGAGAATCATGTCTCCATAATAATAAAAAAAAATTTTGCATATTAAATATGTACTTGATCATTATCTCTTGAAATAAGAAAACAAAAATTCAAGAGAAATGTATACACACATACATACACACACACACACAGAATGATTCTCAAGAAGCTAGTAAAGCTACAATGCACAAAAATATCCCCATAAAGCCAATATAGTAGGAAGGGTAGCGAATAATACCCTAATAAAAATACTTTCAAAAACTCTTTCAGCATAATGCGAGAACATTCCAAGAAAAATGGCTATCAAGCCTGTTATGACAACAAAAAAGGCAAGTTGTCGGTGAATAATACGAAGCATAATACGATGTGAAACTGAAAAGCATCGATCAAATATACCATAATAAAGAGAAAGGCCTATAAATGTCTCCAAGATTTGAAGAATCTCACACAGCATACCTATTCGAGCATGCCATGTTACAAAGTGACTTTTAGAACGACGAAATTTACTAAATTCAATAATAATAATTCCAAAAGCACAAAATGCTTTAAAAGAAAGAGCATTATATCGATGATCTCGTAAAATATTACGACGCTGATTTATCATATGCAGAGGTCCTTGAAGTTCAACAATAGATTGTAGCAACTCTGGTAAAATTCCCATAAAAGCAATTGCCATTGATATCGGGTGATATAAGAAAATATCACTCCAAAAACCTCCCCAATCTCGTATAACTATTAGTGAAAATAGTAAAATAGCAAATAAACAAATTCCTCGACGTATCATCACACAAAAATTTGGGGTATACATATAAAAAACTCGGGGACCACCATCATGAGTTGAACCCAAGGCATGAGCATTAACAGAAGCATGTCGTCGATCCCCAAGGGTACTTATAGCTATTGCATCTTGAGAGTTTGCCATGTGCTTATTATAAGCAAATGGAGACTAACCTGTAAAAATAAAAAGATTATGTTTCAGAAAAAGAGACCCAGAGAAAATAATAATAATAATAATAATAATAATAATAATAATAATAATAATACAAAAAAAGAAGTCATACAGTCAATGGAAATAAATAACCATTACGGTATAATATTTTCAAAATTCAAAAGAGAAAAAAATCCAAGGTAGATAAAGACATAAATAATGTGCTCTGTACATTTCAAATAAAGAAGTATTTTGTATTTCCATTACATCAGTTGTTATACCTAAAATGCTCAAGCAGATTTAGGCATCCCCTTTATTTTTCTTTTTTTTTCTTTTTCTTTTCCTTCTCTCCAACTTTATTGTCTATCCTCATGCAGAATTCATCATCTCTCTTTCTTTCTTTCTTTCTTTCTTTCTTTCTTTCCTTTCCTTTCCTTTCCTTTCTCATTCATAATGCATTAACTTGTTGAAAGAAGACGAACTGTGAAGTCGCCACTTTCTGTAGAAACACTAATCGTACCACTTCCAATAGAACCAGCAGGTTGAAGAGAAGGTATAATAAGTAACGAATCCATTGGGTTCTTTAACCGAAGTTCACATTGAACCGCATGATGTCGAACATATTGTGAACGAATGATAACTCTATCAGCTGGTATTTGCCCTTTAATACCCTCACCTTGACGACCATCATTAGCCAATACAAAAAATACAATTGCAGGAGCATTATAACTACATTCTGTTATTTGCATACGTATAACAATAGTATCATGAGTATTAACTGGAAACATCTCAACTTGTGGATTTCGTGTAGCTTCATAGTAAGAACCACTTCCTTCTGGCCATGAAATGGAAACAATTTTCTTTTCCCAAACAGGTAAAGGTATAATCTCTGGAGTTTGAAGGGAACTCCATATAGTGTATTCAAGTTTAGCTCGTGAACCTTCAGGGTTTACGCAAACTATAAGTGTATAAACTTCACCAGGAGTAACAGTTGCTTCTAGATATACACAATCACCCATAGTTAAATTACTAGATGCCAAAATAGATTCATCACGCAAAGCTCCTACATATCTTGAAGGTCTATCTTTTATCATAGTAGACTTTACAAGGAAAATACCTAGAACCGTATCTGTTGCATCTACTGTATGAACTTTTACAAATATAGCTTCACCTTCAGAATTACGACCTCCATTAATATCAGAATAAGGAAATCTAAGGGCAACTTGTGCGTTATCATCTCCAGCACGATATTCTCCACTACATTCCACGGTTTCTTTAAATTCTATTGTATTCCAATGGAATGAAAGATTTTCTTTCCATACAAGAAAACTTGAAGTAGAGAATAAACGTATAAGAAATTTACCAAATACACCTCCCATATGTGAACTTGGAACCACCCAATAATTATCTCCTGCCTGTAAATTACCTTCAAATGAAATAGAATCTGTATAAACATATTTTGTAGATGCTATAACTTGTTCCGTTTCTTGTGCATAACGAAGCGGATAACGTTTCTTTTCAACGATATGAAGACCAAGTGATTCAATATCTGTTGGATTAAAGCGAGTATCAGGAACTGCAAGATTAATAAAAAGAGATGAATCATGAGTAAATTTAAGACGATAATGTGGATTGATATGCCAACGATATCCAAAGCAAGAACCTCCAGCACTATCTCGATCCCATTCACCTTCTATAATACGTTCATGAAATCCATTAAAGAGACGACAAACATGAACTTGTGTAAAAAGAGAAATAAAATCTATATAGGATAACCAACAGGATTGTTGATTTTTACTTCTACGTGTTTTATTATTACGAAGTGTAGTATCAAAATCCAAATTTTTACTCCAATGGGATATTTCATCACTCCAATCACTTTTCCATTCTTTACTTTTCCAAACACTTGAAACTTCAAGAAGTCGCATATCTTGTACCTGATGAACTTGAAGAATACGATAAACCTGAGAAGATTCAATCACAGGATGTGTTTTATTAGATGATCCACTTAACGCCACCATTAAAGATCCTGTACTGTAAAATTCAAGCATAGATATCCACCAATCATCTGCAGAAAAACTTTCATGATTTAAAAAACGAATAATACCTACTCCACCAGTTAAATCAGTTAAAAGTTTAGCACAACTTGTTTTTCTTGCAGTATTAATAATACTTACTCGATCATTTAATAGAAAAGTTTGTTTTCTAAATAATGTTCCAATCCTACTCCTTCTGTCCATCCTTTGAGTTAATCTATGTACCCGATAATTATCTCCAACAGAAAACTCAAGAGCAGGATAACCTCCATGCATTTTTGCAAGAGCTTTTTCTAAAATACAAGGCCAGAAATATTTTCCTTCTATTGGATGAGTAAATATAAACATATCTTTATTATTTACAGGTAGAAAGTCATCTACAATAACATATCGCCAAGCTCCATCAATATGTACTCTAAGAGCATATATACCATAATCAGGAGAAGATGAACAAAGTATACTATTGTGAAGAGTCTCTACATCTGTAAATACGGCTTCTACACAGGTAAATATCCATTGAAATAATTGAGGCACTTTATGTGGTAACATTAAACAATCTTCATCATCATCATCAGGAAATAATTTTGCCGATGGACAAATATCTCTCACACGACGCCAACCCGTAATTTCATACTGTACAGTAGCACGACGATGTATACTTACATCATCTGGAGCAAACTGCGTATCATAAAACCAACCATTTTGTTGTTCACATAATTGTGCTATAGTAGGAATAGGGTTTTCATCAAATAAAATTTCATGAATATTATGTGAAAAACATAATAAAGCAGCTTCTACATCTTGTGATTTAAGACGTTTACGATTTACATGAACACCATGTGATGTTGCTGATACGGATACAGATGCTCCTCCTGATATGGACATGATTGTACTTAATATGGGATCTGTTGGTATTCCTTTTATTTTGGATGGCATTTCACTAGATAATACATTATTCATTATTTTAGAAACCTCATGTATACCACCACCTCCTTTGATATTTGTGTTTTTTGTCTCTTCTGATAAACCACCATATTCCAAATCCATCTCAGCTGCCTTATCCTTAAGCAATCTATTTAATTCCAATTGACCTTCAATACCAATTAAGAGTGAGGTTCGTATACCCGTATCTTCCAGTATAATATATTCAATCACAGGATTAGTTTTGGCTAGTTGAAGAAGTAATGATCCCGCAGACATTGTTAAAGGATTATGAGAAAGATTAATGCGCACAACTGAAGGATGTTGCCGTAAAGCGAGACACAACGCGTCAATCGCATCTGTGTCTAATTTCTGTTCACTGAGATTGAGCATGCGAATATTTCGACAACAGCGTATAATCTCCAACAGGGGAAGTATACCCTTTGGGCCTAGAAAGTTCTTTGAGATATCAATAGATTTCAGACTATGAAACTCATCCGGCACATCACAGAGAATAGAACAGATCGCAGAATTCTTTCTACAGTGAAGTTCCAAACATTTTCTCTCGTAAATCTCCCGAAGTGAGAGTCCGGCATAGTAAGAAGTCATGTCTAAAGAAAAGAAAAAAAGAAAAAAAAAAGGAAACCAAAACAAAAAAAAAATGAACACAGTGTTCACCCCTAACCACACACACAGAGAGATAGACTTCTTTTGACTTCTTTCTTTCTTTCCTTCTCTGTATTTGAAACCAGCCATACAGAAAGAAAAAGAAAAAAAAAACAACAACATAAGGAGAGAAAAAGAGAGAGAGAGAGAGAGAGAGAGAGAGAGAGAGAGAAACAGAAGCAGAGAGATTTAAAAAGTATATTGAGAAATGAGAGCATGTAAGGGATACCGTATATGAAATACGGACGACACAAATAAATAAATAACCCTAGATTCACTCATCTAGAAAGAAACATATTTACTTACTTAGATACATTTTTTTTTTTGTTTTTAGTGTAAAGTAATACAATTTAAAAGAAGAAAATCACACACACATACGCAGATGAAAGAGAAAAAAAAAACATACAAGGAGACCTATTAAAGATATATATATATATATATATATATATATATATATATATATATATATCATCTTTTTTTTGTTTCGTTTGATTAAATGTCCTTTTTCTTTTTTTGTTCTTTAAAAAAAAACACACATACACACTCACACTCACATAGCTTGGAATGTTATCCTCACTTGATTCCAAAATTATCCACACACACACACACATACACACACGCGCGCGCGCAAAAGAAAAGAAAAATGATTGGATCTAAGGAGGTAGCACACCTGTATCATAACTACCTTTTGTTTCCATCGTAAGACGCCCTGATGCTCTATTCTTATCTAATCGCTCCCGTATTGTCTCTTGTGCCTCATACACAAGAAGACGTGTTGGACACTCCGCCACGATATTTAATTCATCCACGGATAAACTGCTTGTATTTAAATCCACTGGGCGTGTGGAGTCCGACGGGGCCACATCACCTGGCAATGGAGAACGTTTCCATCGCAGTAACACTTCTTTACAAAGAATGAGAACAAACACAGCATAGCAGAAGATGTTAATCACATAGGCACAGACAACACCTGGAATAATACACCCCAAGCGACCACTCGGAATACTTGGAATGATGTATTTATGAATAATAATAAGAAGTGCTGTTGGATTGGCGAGACGAAATATAATCCAACCTACAAAGGTAGCATATAAAGAAGCTGCGTAAGCCTTTGTGTTACTCATATCATTTTCCTCCAAAGTGGCTCGTGCGTGTAGAGGTAAATTTGTTGCCTCTACTAAGAGGAAACAAGCGAGAATAAACAAACCATACCCACAAGGGGATGCAAACATGTAAATCAAATAGGGAATACTTGCTACTATGTGATGAATAGCAAAACCCAACCATTGAGGTGGTCTGTATAATAATAAAAGCACCGTATCATATAAAAAGTATCCAATACTAATACAGAGAATTCCTTGTAAAAACGAGACATCGCCAAGAGGCTCAAAGTAATTTCCCCAATTCATATAAGCAATTCCACCAATAAGTGTGGGTACAATAATAATAGAGTGAATAATGGATATTGCGCGGGAACACACATCCGCCTGAAGGGCTAACGTCATCGTTAAGAAACGACGATAGTAGCTTGAAAAGAGTGACCAGACAAAGAGAAACAACATACAAAAACAAATAAATGCAAAAGTGATGCTTAGGAAGGTTTGATTCGCCGTAAGAGAACCCTCACCATTGCAGCATTCAACACTCGCATTTAATGTTTCAAAGAGCTTAGCATCATAACTCATTATTTTTAGCTTATTGAGAATAACAACTACTAAAGATTATAAAGAAAGAAATATATATATATATATATATATATAACCAAGAATTAAAGATGAAATTAATTCTACAGAAATCCATCCATCAAACAAACAAACAAACACACACACACAAAGGAAAAACAAAACTTTCGCAAAACAATAATAACAATAACAACAATAACAACAGAGATACCAACGAAAAAAAAAAAAGAAACAGATATATACGATGATTACCCAAAGAAAAGAGACCCCCTTCGTTTTCCATCTCTCTACTCTTCCATGTATAACCCCAATAAGACGTTTTTCTTCTGCTTTTGTACTAAAATATATTTCTATGAATGTGAAAAGATCTTTTCTTTTTTTCCTTTTCTCTCTTTCCCCATCTTTATGTTTCACCAAATTCAAATACCAACAACTAAACAAACACCACCACCCTTTTTACACCTTAGACCTCAGACTCCTCCCCTTAGTTGACATCTTCTTTACTTTTCCTCTCCCTTTGTGTGAAGTGAGTATTTTTTTTTTTCTCTTTTTTTCTTTTTTTCTCTTTCTTCTTCTTCTTTACGAGAGCTTATCTCTTCTCTTCTCAGCTCGGCTTCTTTCCTGAATGTGTAGGGCCACACGTGCAAGCCAGGCTGCGAGGGAAACCAATGCGAGAAAAAATACACACGAGACAATCCACAGTCGTCCAAAGTCACTTTTGCCGTGAAACTCGAGTGGAATAGCCGTCGTTACCCAAAGTGGTATCGTCGCTGCCCACAAAGCCACAATCAACACTGTTTTGATGATGCCAGGTCGTTGCCAATTCTGTTTACCACTCTTGAGATGATCTTCCTTCCTCTTATTATTATTATTATTATTATTATTATTATTATTATTATTATTATTATTATTATTATTATTCTCTCCAAGGGGTTCACAGAAGAGAAATGTTAGAAAGGGGAGGAACCACACAAAGTACTGCACAGTGCAGACCTTATTAAAAGCGACAAATAATACCGTCTGAATACAAAATGCATGTGCAATGTTGAAACGCAATTTGTAAGAGACAAGAAATAATACAATGGCTTGTGGTAAAAATGCCAAAAGTCCAGGAGCGTAATCCACACCTTCAATACCAAGATGACGACGAGCCATATTTAAATACATGAGAAGCCAATAAGGTGAGAAATTATGACGATGATCTTCACGGTAAACATGATAAATAAATGCCTCATCCAAGTATTGCTGACCAAACCATTTATAACAGATAAAAGTAGGAATTAAAAATGAAATAACCGCCAAAATACCACAAAGTATTACTACAGGAAAAACTCGTATGATTCGTTGAAGAATACTTTTTGCCTCCATTTTCTCCCATACGCCCAATACCAAAGGAAGAGCATAAATAACGGGATATATTTTGAAGTGAATAGCAAAACCAAGAACAGAAGCCGCTTGGTAATACTTTGATTGTGCAAATTTTGCTAATACCATAAGGCTCATAAAAGTAATAAGCATATCACTATTTCCTCTAGTAGAAACATTTAATACAATAGGGTTAAATAGGATAAATAATGATACCATCCACTTGGCACTTCGCTCTGTCGCAAATGTAAGCAATACTTCATAGCAATAGTATGCAGCACCCAAATCACATAATGCAAAGATGAGTTTCCCCATTGGATTTGCCACTAACACACTTGGGAGCATCAACACAGCGAGGAATGGAGTATAACGGAATGTAGTACGATCAAAAGGAGATCCTCCCATCCACATCTCACGAGCACCATCCACAATAATCATGTAATCAATATCCGTATACTTCACACGAAACCAGCGGTCGTGAAAGAAGGCGTAAATGATAAGAAGTAGACGTAATACAGCACCCCACCAGACGAGACGTCCAATAGGAATACGATCCATCCTCGTTAATTTAGAGTTCTGCAGATCCATTTTTAATATTCCTCTACAAATATATATATATATTCTTTTAAATTTATTTAATCTATTTCTATCTCTTTCTCTCTCTTTATTTTTTATTTTGTGTGTATCAGTACAAAAGAAAAAGAAACCTTTCACTTGCCTTTTTCCAACTAGAAGTACACCCACTAGCACTCCTACTGTTAATATTAATAATAACAATCATCAAACCAGAGAAGGGTTTAAAGGCAAGAAAAATAACAAAAAAAGAAGAAAAAAAAACAGAACAAATTGAATTCCTTCTACAGAAAACCCTGTAAGGGAAACAATAATAAAGTGAACACAAGTAAATTGAGAAATCCCTCAGTTTCTTTTTTTTCATGCAATATTCCTCTTCCCTCTCTCCTCTTGATGAAGAGAAGGAAACAGAAAACATTTCTCAAGTAAAATGATGAGAAAGAGAAAGAGAGAGAAAAAAAAAAGAAAAAAGAAAAAAAAAAAAAACAATGCAGCAAAAGAAGATAATGTAGTTTATATTACACATGCTAATATGTAAGAGGATCAAAAAAAAATGATAATAATCCAAACAAAAGAAAAACCCACTCCTAACGTTTTCCCTACAATCAAAGATCATTCTCCTCGATCACAGTGTATTGCATTGTGTTTAAGAGAAATTTGGCCTGAAAAGAAATAAAAAGAGATAAATAATAAAAAAAAGAAGAAAAGAAAAAGAATACATAATCTAAAAGTTTATTTCAGAAGAATCTAATAATTCCCTTCAATCCAGTTCTTCTCCAAAGAGTATGTTTGTGTACAAATTATTGAGTTACCTTCAATGTTAGGTACTCCATTCAACACAAAATAATACACATCCATGCATTTCTCCCATTCCTCCTTCTCTAATGCATATGTGATCTCTGGATGGTCTGTATTCTCAGTCAACATAATGAACAAAAGTGTCGTTCTTATTTTTCTCTTTTCTCTTTTATTTCTCCCATTTCTCTGTATCACCTTATTGCCATTATTGTGTGAGTTCTTCTTCTTCTTTTTCCCTTGTGTCTTTGCATACATATTATGTAGACGTGAGGTGGGGTGAAATAGAATATCATAAATAAAAACCTCTGGAATAAAGTAGTCATACAAAGAAGATTAATTTATTTTCACTCTACCTTCTCTTTTCTTCTTTTGTTTCTTATTGTTTTTTTTTTCCCCCTTTCTTTCTTTCTTCCTCATTGTTGTTGTTTTTCTATTTAATCCTGTGCCGATTGACTCAAACGCTGAATGATAAGTTCCTGTTCCTCTTCTACTTTACGAAGGGAGTTGTACTCCACCACATATCGATCCAACTCTGTCTGTTTTTCACGCAGTCGCACTTGTGCCTCCTGCACGGTGCGGAATCTTTCCTCCGCCTCACTCTCCACAATATTGCGAGATCCAATGGCCTTCAGTTTCTCCTCTTCAATGGCCTTTCCAAGTTTCTCCACAATCGTCATGGTTTGGTTGACAATACTCTTGAAGTCATCCATGCGGGTGGTGAAGCGCTTTCCAACCTCAATGGCCTTCAGCAACTCGTCAAACTTCTCCGGATCGTACATGCGAATAGCGCCATTGGCGTCAAACATCACAAGTTTATCATCATCCATGATTTTTTTTTTTTAATAATAATAAAGGAGGAAAAGAAAAAAAAAAAAAACAGATATGAGGGGGAAAAAAAACTGAAATAATTTTCTTTCTCTTCTCTTTCTTCTCTACCTTTTTCTATCAACTAGTTCTTCTGTGCTTTTTTTTTTATTTTTATTTTGTTTTTTTTTTCTCTTCTTATTTGAGAGATACTTGAAGAGACTTAGAAGAATAAATCATAAGAAAAAGGAAAAAAAAAACACCCACAGTATAAACAATAGTCATGAAACATTTATCATTCATTTTCACCCTTTTGTGGGTATTTTCCCTTTTTCTTTTTTTTAAAAAAAACTTGGAAACAGCAACTTTAGAGTTCATTGCATCTTATCTCTTTTTCTGCAAAAAAAAGTCATCAAAATAATAATAATAATAATAATAATCAATCTTCATCTATATGTATATTGGTGGTTCTTTCTTTATTATTTCTGTTATAATATAAAAAAAAATCTTTTTTTTTTCTTTTCTTTCTTGATTGTTATTCCTTCACTCAATCAACATATTCCACACAGCAATTCACCAGTTCTTCAAGTACTTGTGGACGAAGTAACAGTTGCTGATTCATACGATATAATGCAAATAAACGTTGACTATGCCGCTGCAGAAGTGGTTCATATCTCACTAAAGCCTGCGGTAGTAAAGCGATATTCCCGCCAATACCGTGAAAATGTAATGCCTGCGAAAGCCATTTCATCACAGCGGAAACAGAGAAGCCAAGAGAATCCGCAGATCCACTCGCGTCTGTTACCACGACAGCAGCAGCACAAGACTGTAGAGACTCTGTAATTGGGGCAAGTTCCATAGCCGCATCACCTCCATTCGTGAGAGTCTGCACAAGTAAAACAGCCGTGCTGTAGAGAGATTTTTGCATTAACAGAATATCTGAAAGAGGATGATGTAAAGAAAGTTTTCCACAACGTTGTAAGAGTCCACCATAACGTCTTTCTAATGTACGTCGCAGATTCATAACGAAATCTAATGAAAATTCTTTTTCTGAAGAACCAAATTCTGTTAAGAAACTTTCTTGTGATGCGAAGAGTAAATTCACATTATCAAGAATAACAGTAGCTTCAATGGGTCGTGGTCGTTGTTGTGGGTGTTCACGGAAAAGACGTTGAATCCAATTTACAACAACTTCTTCTCCAGGGTAACGAGAAGCATTTCCATTATGACTATTATGAAGATTCTTTTCCAAAACCCTAACTACTATACCTCCATCACCAATAATATTTTGATCACCATTATAAATAGTAAGATTATAATGTTGAGCACTTCGAATTTCAATTTGAGATACCGTACTCGTATCTGGTAAAAGACAAGGGGTCACCATACGAACAGCTTGATCTTCTTTTCCTTTTGGAAGTGGTGTCCATAACTCTCTAACAACATTGGAAGGTTCACTATGACTAAGTCTACCGCGATGAACAATCACACGAATAGGAACAGAAACAGATCTATTTGTGAGAACATCTACAGTTTCAATAATACGTGGAACTACAGCTAAACAATAAAGATGACGTAATGCTTGAAGATGCATCTTATTATCAGAAGCTGTTTCTGGCCAAATAGGATAAAAAGCCATAATAAGTGAAGCTACCGAATCTAAAGAAGTTGAAAGTGTTAATTGACCTCCTCCAAGAAAAAGTAATCCAGTAGCCATAGAAATAGAAAGATGATCTCCATATTTTACATTTGTACGTTTATAAAGTTTTTGTAAAAATGCTAAACATTGACCATCTCCTGTACCAGCCATAATAAGAGATAAGGCTACACTACAAGCAGATATACATGCTTGAAAAGCACCTGTAGTACGTTGAATAGCTGTTATAACAGCTCCTGTACTTCCTATAAATCCTTGCATAAACCCATTTAATTCACTAAGTACAATAGATTTTCCATCCGCATCCATAGATCCAGCAAAACGTATACCTAATGCTAATATTGAACCTGCTAAACAATGACCAAGATTCATCATAAGATAACGAATTTGAGCAGGTGCAAGTCCACTTTGTTGAGGATATTTTGCAAGACGTAAAAGAGATGAAGGAATACTTCGTCGTAACCATTCTCTTGTGGGTTCAATACTAGACCACATAATAAGAGAAGACATCATAGAACGTAAAAGACATAATTGAGGATATATACCTTGTAAACCTACCAAACGATTAGGTGGAGCTAATTTCATAGCCATAGAAGTATCATTTGTTTGTAAATAAATTAAACCAAGAGCCATGATAGCTCCAGGACTAGAAACTCCAACATTAAAGCAATCACCTTCAAAAACACGAGTACAATGACTTCGAAAAGATTCTTTTGCATTTCTTGCAAGAAGAGCTCGAGTAAGAAAATGTCCACTATCAGGATTAATTTCATTAAATGTTTCAAGTCCTTCACATGCTGATGGAACTGCCTCACGACGGGCTCCTTCCATAAATTTTAATAAACGATTTTCAACATTAGGAACTCCATGAGAATTTCCAGTTCCTAATAATAATAAACCCAAACTAAAACCTGCTCCAAGAGCATATCCTTCTCGATCTCGAAAATGTTCATCCGATGGGAGACGTGAAATTTGAATAAGAAGCATTTCAACTAAGAATGCATCAGGTGATCGTTGGTAAAGAATTCCTATAGAAACTAATGCAGCTGTTTGTACATCTAAAGAAACTTCAATATCTTCTGTAGCAGGGGTAAGAGACTGTACATGCATAGATAAACAATTAAAAACAATACTATTGCATGTCCCTCGAAGACTACAACTAAGTCCTAACATTACAGCAATTGTAACAACTTCTCGACCAGAAAATTGTGATTGTGGTGATACCAAAAGAGAATAAATATCTGTTCGTTGAAGAGCTTTTAAATGTCCTAATAATCCAGCTGCAAGAAGTAATCCAGATCTTGAGGCAGGACAAGGTATATTACGTGTTTGATATAATACCCAATGACGTTTAATAGTTTCTTCCTCTTTTAAATTTTCATTACCACGAAAATTTGGTAATGGAAGGAAACGTAATCCTGCTGCACATCCATTATGAAAAGATGGCCATATAATATTATCTGCAATAGCTTCTTCTGAATTATTTGTTATCGTAACTCCATCACTTGTTCGTCCCTCAAGGTTAAGACGTGGAATAGGTACACTATCTCGTACTCTAAAATTTTGTGTACAAAGTGTAAACATACCACGTCCAACTGGTAATGCGGTTGCACGTTTTGTAAGTGTATTTAATAAATTATAAATAGCATCTGCAGCATCTACTTGACTTGGTAAAGGAATAGGGGCAGCGGTATTTAACATAGTTTGTACAATATCCACACGAGAATCTCCCCAATGTTTTGGGAAATCTGGTCGCATAATAACTCCATCATCATCATTTAAAGTAGCTCGATATTGTCGTCCAATTGCCCGTTCTTGTGCAGCTCGCAGAACATCACCTGCGGGATTTGCATATCGTGCCAATGTAGAAGGACGTTGAAGACGATCTAATCGACCAATAATAGCATTAAAATCATCATCCCATGTATCTTCTGGATGATCTTTCGCAATCGCTAATGCTCTTTCTATTGGCTGGGCAACACCCACACACAACTCAGAGGCTACAAACTTTGGATCCACATTATATTTTAATAAACCTCTACATAAAATATACCACCAACGTGAGCTGAGATTCTGCAGTGGTTGAGGGGTATCAAAACAATCCACTAACATAAAGAAAAGACTATTCGCCATCGCAAGAGGAGATGTTGGATTAATGCCTTTCATAGCCGGCCAACCACCAGAGACACGGGCTTTTCCCTCAAGTACACGTTGAAGAATAGTATACAAGACAGGAGGAACTCCACTCAATACCGCTTCTGTGGAGGATCCCGCATGGAAAATAAAACGTTCAAGTAATACATTTTCTGTTAATGTACGTTGAAAGAATGGCGGTTGGGAAATAGTTGAAGGAATAGTAGAAGAAGATGAAGAAGATAAATCATTTGCCTCAGGAACACACAAACAGGTAGAGTAGTAGCGAATATAAAGACTCCATCCCATTAATTGAGATAATCGAAAGTTAAGATGTGCCAATGGTTCAAGAAAAACCCAAAGACGTTCTTGAAGTTTAAAACTTTCACAAAGAAGATGTAAAACAAAAAGAGTCATCCCACATTGATATAGTGACCATCTTCCCCCAATGTTAATATTAGATAATCTCACCTGAGTAGAATCTTCTCTTTCTTGACTACGTAGAGGGTGTGAAGAAGAACGTCCATGTAGTACATCTGCCGTTAGAAAAAGAGGATCAATAAGAATATCACATAAACGAACTTCCTTCTCATCATGTAAAACATCTAAAGAGTCTGATACCCTTTCTGCTGCAGTACCACCAGTATTATTATTATTATTATTATTATTATTATTATTATTAATACTAGACCCTGTCATACTGGCATGTACATAATCTTTAATCAATTCTAAACATCCCGTTGCGAAATCTTCAAAATGTCCAAGACGTTTCTTTTCCCATGCACGTCGAAGTAATTCACACTGCATAGAAGCCACACATTCCGTTTCTAAAACGGGTTCAAGTGCTTCTAAAATAAAGTGAACAAGTGGATGTTGTTCTTCAAAGAGTGAAGGAAACCCTATCATATAGGATCCATAACTTTTCCCTTCAGATGAACTCTTTCCACTATTTTTTGTATCATGACTACTATGGGATACGGTTTGAAAGGCAACAGTTGAACCTGCATGATATAAAATACCCTCCAACCTCACATTCTCTGGAAGTAAATTTGCAATAGACATTGTCGCTATACAATTAGAAGAAGAAGGATGTCTTAATAGTTCAGGTACATGATAGAGACTAACATGATTTACTTCTGGATAGTGACAAACCATAATAGGCTGCATCATAGATGGACGTAAACATGGAAGTACTAAAGGTGGACAATTGGTGGATAATGTAAAAAGTAATTCCAAATTCCCTTTTCCAGTTCGTAAATTAGGTGTACGTACAATATGTAATACACTATGAAGTGCATCAAAAAGAAATAATGCTTGTACAGAAGCCTGTGAAGACTCCGATACCGTGACAGAGACAGAAGCTCCCTTTACACGTAATTGTGGTATATGTAGACGTTGTGGCCACCATATCCAAAGTAATGCATCCAAGTGATCTACAATAATAGTAGTGGCGAGACAAACTTCACTTCCACGTACCGCTACAGCCATTAATCGTCCATCACAGGATTGAAATTGTGTGAGTGTCGTCGCATCTATTAACGCATACTTTGACGTTATATTAACAACAGTGTTGTTACTATTATTGTTATTGTTATTATTGTTATTATTATGGATATGATAAGAGGATGACACCATCGTGACGGTAGGGTTGAGAGAAAGACTTGTCAACATTTCACAATCCCCAAACGGGACGTAAACAGGTTTTATAGTCAGTTGAGAAGCCATCCACCACATATCTGCAGCCTCATTAAATACAAATCCTCCCACTCGCAACATCTTTGCACATGTACCACGAGAGGACTGTCGACTACCGTGAACAAACACACCACGTAAACCAGGCACTACATGTGTAGGACTGATGTTCTTAAGAACAAAGTGAGTCACAGAAGCCGGATGGGCCGTATTATATGCAGAGCAAATCGTTAAAGGATGATGGGCAGTGTAATGACTAAGGTGATTCTTTGGCTCATCTCGGTAAAATACACATAAATACTCTTGTAATACTCCATAAGTACTATTAATATTATTATTATTAATATTAGTATTATTATTACTATAAATGGCACTGGAGTGCTCATCTCTCCTTTGATCTGAACTTCTCTCACCACAAAGACTTCCAAATGTTTCCTCTCTTGAAACCCCAGCGGTATTCTGTTCATTCTCCCTCTCATTTAAAAGAAGAGGGAAACGTGTGAGAAATGCCCACTTTATATTTCGCTGCGATGTAGTGAAGTAAACCTCATTGTGGTGTAGAACTGAAACATCACGCACACCATCCAACTGCTTCTCACCAACTCGTATCGTGAAGGCACTCTGCATGGCCGCAGAGGACTAGACACAACTAAACCCCCCTTCTCTACACTAATGTAAACAACAAGAACAACAAGAACAAGAAGAAGAGTTCAAAAGAGAATATATATATATATAACACCACATTCATTATATCCATTAAAGTTTTACATACATACGTATACACAAATAGAGATATAGTGAGAGGAATACTGTGACAAAGAAAAATAATAATAACAACCAAAAAAAATGGATAAACGCAACCTCCCCCCAATGGTGTATCCTCTTATCTGAGGCAACAGGCAAAGAAAGAAAACAAAACAAAGAAACAATAATTAGAAACAGACATAAAGACCCCTTAAAAAAAAAAAACACTTTAACTTATCAACACTACGATATAACTATCTGGTCAAAGTTATACATGCCAATGTAGTCCACTCTGTCAGAGTAGAGTGGAACCCACATCGAATCTGTATACAGAGACAACTGATGAGAAAAGAAGGCGTTATAATCTAACCAAAAAAACTCCGGTTGCCGTCCAGGAGTAAAAGCTGAAGGTAAAATAAGTTCACATGTGCGGCTCTTCTTCCTACTACTTTTCTGTGATGTCGGTGATGTGAGAGTATTATGTGAAGAGGATCCTTTCAAGTCTGTGTTCATTAACATCAGACGATTAAGATAATGCCAGAGAAACACAAGGCGAGTATACAAGGAATCCGTAGATGTAAAAGAACGCCATTGTCCATCCATGTCTACCCAATGTACATCATAAGAGATATCACGTATTGGTAATGGTCGTTGCATAAAAAAGAAAAATAAATCTGTTTCCTCAACAAACACAACATTCATTACAGCAGAAATATTCAATTTATTCATTACACTAATAGGATAAAATGGAACTTCTTCATTTGAAGAAAGTTTTAAATCCATTTTTTTCCGTTCCATCTCTGTAATCCAATGAGAAGATTTAAATTTCATACGTTGCGCAAACTGGAATAACTCTGTCTCCAGTAGATGTGAATAACGTCTCCCTCTAATATCACATTGTGGTGATACTCTTCCACTATTATTATTATTATTATTATTATTATTATTATTATTATTATTATTATTATTCCCAGCGGGAGATGAGAAATGCGATGAGGAGAGACCACGTCGTGCCAGAAGGAGAGTATGATGACGACTTGACATTCTCAAGTGAAGGAAGAGTCGAAGGGTTAAGCCAAACGCATACATGAAGAGAGAGAGAGAGAGAAAAAAAGTCCTATTCAGAATAAAAGAAAGAAGAAGATAATAATGAAGAAAAAAAATCAAATAACAGAAAGAGAACAGAATAAATAAAAGGGGAAAAAAAGAAAGAGGAAGGTAAACTGCATACAAATATGCACCCAAAGACACAGAGAACTATGCACTACAAATGGAAACAGCGAATAATAATAAAAATAAAAAATAACAATTTAGTCAAGGGAAAGAAAAAAAAAATCAAAGCAAATAACAATAAAAAAAAAAGATAAATTATTTTGTCACACTGACCATAGTCATCATCATCATCATCAACAACAACAACAACAAGAAAAGAATTTTCTCGTATTCTTCTTCTATTTGAAGGGAAAAAAAAAGAAGAAACAAATGACGCGGCGTTATTCTGTTTCTTTTTTTTTTTCTTCTTCTTTTGTTTCAAGATTCTTTTCATTTCCCTTTCAGCAAAACCAAAGAAACAAAGAGAGAAATATTCTCATTCTTCCTCAATAACTAGAGAAGGAAGAAAAATACAGCAAGGAAACTGTGTACATTAAAAAAAAAAAAGTGTAGCAAGTAGTCAATAATAATAATAATAATAATAATAATAATAATAATAATAATAATAACTCTGTCAATTTACGGAATTAAAAGTTTTTTGTCTAGTATATTAAGCACGTCGCTGAGTTCCACAAAACTTTCCTGTATGTGAACGGTATCGCATATTTCCAAAAGCTCATGAAGCTGATCATCCACACTAATCATATCATTCTCATCCCCCGATTGAGAATCGGAGCCGAGAGCCGCAAAGGTCGGCACAGACACAAAAGAATACCCGCGAACGGCGGGAGTTCGAGTTCCATGACCCGCCACAGCAGCCGCCGCCGCCCCCAATGAGGGACTTGTGAAGAAGGAATGACTATCGTTTATATTAGTGGCCGCATGTGGGAGAAATATCTCAGGAATCGCAAATGGTGGACTTCTAAAGAATTTCTGTGATATTCCCATTTGTCCAGATCCCATAGAACTTGGAAGAGGCGCAGGTGCAAAGTGCGGCGTTGGTAAAGAGCGACCACTTCCCATAGAGTCTGATCCCTGTGCTGCTGTACTTCCAACATGGGGTTCAACAAGATAATCTGTCTTCACATTCACAGCAGTTGAGTGTGTTTCATTGGATATATTTACAGGTACAGCTTTGTTCTTCATAAAGGTTCGCCATAAACGATTGTACGTAACATTCACACCTAATAATCCTTCTACAGCCCATACCTGTTTTGTACAACTATCTAATTCAAGTTTTGGAAGTTCCTCATTTTCCAGAACTAATTGCAATGAAACATCATCAGGATCTGTATCCATAATATCTAAATATAACTCATGAATACGCAAATATGCATAAATAACACTTACAAGTGTTTTTAAAGAGGCTTCATATTGTTCATTTAACATAACACCCTGAAATGCAATAGAAGAAGGTGTTAAGGTGGAGTTTATTATCGTCTTTGTAGTTGTAGAACGGAAATCTTGAAACTTCCAAACTTCCGCTACTGATCCTTTCACAGACACCACGAGGTATACTGGAGATGGTAAACCTTTTTTGCACCGGTGCTTCCGTAGATCCTCCTCATCCTTCTCATAAGCACCATTGTCCATCATGTGTAGATCACCCCAGCGGAATACTTCATGTGCCATTACGCATCTTCTACCGTTACGCACAAGGCGAATAAAATTTAAGATGAGAGCATCCTCCATATCTTACTACTTGTTTTTTTTCTTTTCTTTGTTTCGTGATTGGCTCTATTGGTAAATTATTTATGATTACATTAAGTTATTATTTGTGTTTCATAACCAAATTACAAAAAAGAAGAGCAAAAAGAAAAGGGAAAAATAAAAAAAATCCATTCAAAGAGAAGTGAAAATTTTTTCATTACAAAATACTTCTAAAAAAAACAGAACAACTTTATTTAATTATGGTATACAAGTAATTCCTTTACTTTTCGTATCTATTATACGTATAAATGTTTTTTTTTTTTTTTTGTTTCTCTCTCTCTCTCTCTCTTTATTTTACCACACTTATCGTCACAACCAAAACGAGAAGAACAACTGAAGAAAAAAACAACAACGTGGAAATTGAAAGCAGATGTAATTATTAACTTGATTTTTTCTTTACTTTCGGTCACTGTTCTCCATCTGGTATGATCTTGTTGTTGTTTTCAGCCCGAGCTGCACGTATTTTCACTATTTCTGAAATAGTCGGTACCATAGGGTAGTCGGGTTCAGCATTATAGTTAATACCATCATTGCGTTCAGAAAGAATATCACCACCAAGTACAACAGATGAGATAAACGCATCCCCGCAAATTACGGGAATAAGTTCCTTATCACCCATTGGTACTAAACGTGGAAGAATGTGATGTGGATTACTGCGTAAATGTGTTGTGAGTGAAGATGTAGAAATATCATGACGGCACGCCTCTGCTGAATCGGATTCATCACAGTAATGATAAGGGCAGACATTACGGGCAACACACTTTCGAACGGCATTCACAATTCGTATGATATCATACTCATCCCGTACACCATCATGTTTCCGCACAGCAGCGGGAAAATCAAAGGCGTGAACTTCCATCATGTGATGTACACAGTCCAGTGAGGATGTATCACACAGAAGACAGAGAGCAGGTTCCTCATCCCAATCACCATCTTCATCCTCCTCATCATTTTCCTCCGCCTCATCATGATAATTCTTATTCTTATTCATATTATCATTACTATTATTATTATTATTATTATTATTATTATTATTATTATTATTATTATGAGAACTACCTGCGTCTTGTCCTTCCTCTTCATTATCATCTTCACCTTCACCTTCACTGTCACCGGAGTCTACTGCTGCCACACAAAAGGGCGCCAATGAGGGAATCGTATCAACATCCCAATGACTATGGCTCTCCTCTTGTAGATGAGACATCCACGTGGCTTTATCACCGCAGTCGGTTTGACAGACTGGACAGTGAATCCTTTCATCACCAGATGGGAACAGCAATCCCCGCAGGTGTGCGAGAAATCCCTTCAAGTCTGCAATATTATCAAAGTGTTTGATGTGCACACCGTGTACATTCTCATAGTGCTCCATATTCCTCTCTTCACCCCGCACCCGCTGCTGACAAACCACACAATCCATATCTGCATTAGCATTCCCCCGGTGGCGAGCCAAGATCGCCTTACAATGTACACGCAGTGCGATCAAATCTGACATTTACTCTCGATGATACACACTCACACCCCTTTCAATTTCCCTTTGTTGTGCAGAACCGCTAGAAGAAAAGAAAAGAAAATGAATAAAAGTACTTTCAAATAAATAATATTTAAAGACATCCAGAAAAGGGTAGTGAATGAGTACAATAAAAGAAAACAAAAAAAAAAACTGACAACTAAATGATAATAACAACAAATCCAAAGCAAATAAATAAATAAAAAAAAAACAGTCACCAAGAGAATGCACAAGAAAAATTTGCAAAACATAAATATCTCGGTCTTTTTTTTTGTTTTATTTTTTTTAACATGAATATTTCTTCATTCTCTTTATCACTCTTCACACATCTCATTGCCTTCCCCAGTCGGGGTATAAAGACTGTACAAAAGGTGTTTCTTTCCCCCTCCTCTCTCTTGTCCTTGCTTATTTTGCATCAAGTAAGAGAAATATAAACACCATTAATGAGAAATAAAAGAATGAATATAATATATACGCACACATATATATATACCGTCCAAAATAGCATCGTTAAGCTCTACCTTTTTTTTTTCTTCTTTTTCTTCTTTGGGGAGGGAAAACGTTGTGGATGAGTGTGTGCTTGCTTGAAATTCAGATATTGTAGAGTGGCGGTATCTTTTTTATTTTTCTACTCTCTTTTTTTTTCTCCCTTTTTTTTTTTTGATACATAATTGATTTCCACTTTCTACTTTTCTTTCTTTATTTTACGGAAAGAACTTCTTATCTAGCTAAGATGCAAGCGCACTGGACTAATACTCCTTTCAAGCTGTTTCGTTTCTTCCTTTAGACTGCGCCGCATTTCATCCAGTGGAAGACGCCATTGATGCTCAATTTTCTCACGTTCATCACGTAATATACTTTTTCTACCATCACTATAAATGATGTAATTCTCTTCCGTTGGTTGTTGAACTAATGGTGAGACAGAATATGAGTCATGTTCACGTCCCTTTAATATTGTACGACCACTACTAACGAGAGTTCCATTATGACCACGTTTTGGTGTTGAAAAGGGCGTTGCATGGGTACTATCATCTCCTATATAATCCCTATCCTCACCCGCATGTTTACTATATCGACTCTTACTTCCCATTGTCCCTGTTGACGCTGTTTTATAAAGACCTCCCTTCTTCTTGGTATCGTTGGAGTGTGGAAGCACCACTGGACTTGTGTGTGTGAAGGGCGGCCGCGGTTCGTAGTGGGCGGGTCCGACGGCCCGCGGGGAGTCGGAGGCCTCTCGCCGCGGGGAGACGTACGCGTCGCCGAGGAGCGGTTGGGCCTCGTACGGCTCCGGAATGACCGCCGGGAGATCGAGAATGTCCGGCTGGAAGAGATAGACTTGACTGTTGTGCAGCAGTTGGGTGGAGCGCACGAGGCGGTCCCACGTGCACTGCGTCTCGTTGAAGACAACAGCGGCGCTGGCGGCGAAGGCGCGTGGAATACCGCAGTGATGGAAGAGATTATTAAAGGCAACGATGGCGCGATTGAGGAGTTGGGTGACAGAAGGGCCGTAGGCGTCGAAGAGAAACCGCAGATTCACCTTCTCCCCGTCCAGGTCTGTCGCCACGCAGACAGAATACTGCATTAACAGAGAAGGCAATATTGCAGAAGGTGTAAATATTATATTTTACAGGTCTGTTGTCTAATGCAAAAAGGTGGGGGAAATGGAAAGGAGTGGAGAGTACAGGTAAGAGTTGAGGGACAGTATCAGCGTCCCACTAAAGCCCAAATGTCTATTTCTGTAAATAAAGAGAAAAACAAGTAGACAATGAATCGACACACTAATGTAGACTGAGAGAAAAAAAAAAGAAAAAAAAGAAAAAGAAAGATTCAAGAGTTAACATAAAGCAAAAAAAAAAAACAAAGAAACAATGAAAGTTAATCATAAATAAACGATAGAGAAAAAAAAAAGAGAGAGAAATGATAGATACAAAATAAACCAAGAAAAATGGTTGGAAGAAATTTCGTTCGATAAAAAATTCACACATAATATAGAAGGATTAGATACAGTGATACGGAGATGTACTGTTAATTTTTTTTTCTTTTTCACTTCACTCTTTGTTATTTATTTTTTTTTTTTTTTTGGTGCCAAAATTACATTTCAAATATTATGAACTATCCACATCTCGTATCGTTTCCTCATTAATAATAAGTTCCTCCATAAGTATACTTCTCACTTGTTCCACAGCAGTCTTTAAACGTACAATATCCTCTTCTGTTGGAGATAAACGCATTAAAATTGCTGCAATTTCCCGCCTACGTTCTTCCATAACACCTACCCGTGTCGCTAACAAACTCACCATTTGATGTTCATCCTCAATCTCTTTTTTATGTTCAGGTTGTAATTCTTCTGAGATCACCTCACTCGAACCTGGAGACAAGTACAGTGATGACATGAGTAATTGACGAATACTGTTTCTTTTCGTTTCCTCTATTTCCTGTCGTTTTGCTAAAAGTTCCAACTCCCGTTGATGATGCTGTAGATGAATGATAGCTTCTTTTAATTCTTCTGCAGCTGCTTGCTGCTCTTTATATGCGATTTGATAAACAGCAAGTTCCACTTCGTTTTTACTTATTTTATCTGCTAACGCTTTAGAACAATTGGTAATAGATCCTCGAGTATCCTCCAATGCTTGGGCGATAATAGACAGCTCATCACGACAACATAAACCAAATATCTCTCGTAATCCTTTATCTGCCTCATCACTTATTATTTTTCGCTCTTTCCATTCATGCTGAAAGAGTTCATACTGTTGTCGTTCATTCCTCGCTTCAATCAACGCCGTATGCGTTTTTTCATAATCCCATTTAAGACCTTGAACGTGTTTTGTCATCGCCTCACAACGAGAACGGTCAATTTCAAAGCGATCTTCCATGGAATTTGTTTCCTTAGCGAGATTAGCCAGTTCATTACGTTCTTCCTCAAGCTTTAATTCAGCTTCTTGTACCTTTTGTAGATCTTCATCTTCAAGAAACACAACAGCACGATTATTACTATTATTACCAAATTGTGGAATATATTTTGTACCTTCTTCGTTATTATCTAATAATATATCACTTCTTCTTGTTTCTGATAACAATTCACTGCTTGCATTACGTGGATCTTCTTCACATCTGATACTCATTTTTTCATTATCATTGTGATAGTCATTAGAGGTATATCCAGCACTTGTGGTACTTCCTGTATATGCCTCTTCCTTTGAAATAAATTTTGGTGGTGCTGAACTTACAATTTTTGTTTCTAATTCACTTAATTTCTCCTGATCGCTTTGCAATTGACTACGAAGATCTAGTAACTCGCGGAATCTTTCACTTACAGATGGTATTAACATACTTTTTTGCTTCACCTCATTACGGTATTTGTCTGTAAGGCTCAGCAATGCATACTTGGCAGAACTGAGATCAGTAATGAGAGAAGGGATATTCGCAAGAAGGACCTCTACAGAGAAAAGAAGGCGTGCCTCATCTTCCAGACGTTCTTGTGAAACATTAAATGCCATACGTTCACCCTGCCACTACCTTTTTATTATTATATTAATATCAATACTAATATTAATATTATTAATATTATTGTTTATCGTTATCCGATCGTTGTCGTTGTTGTTGTTGTTACTTTTGTTTTATGGGATTATTTTTATCCCTTTGTTTATCAGGATTCTCTGTAGCGACTTTAACAGGCCTCCTAAATCCGTTAAAAAGAGAAAACACAAACGCACAGAGAGACACAAAAAGAAGAAGAATAGTAGGAAAAAAAAAAACAATGCCAAGAGTAACAGAAGAAGAAAGAAAGTAAAGAAAAATAATTCAAGCTTCTTCAATGATATTTACTTATTTGTTTTTTTTTTATTTTATTTCTTTTCTTTTTTTTTTTTCACCCTCTCAAATATATATATATATATATATATATATATATATATATAATTAAGAGATACTGAGTGAGCGACAGAAACAAAAAAAAAAAAGAGAAAAAGAAATATTGTTAGAAAGGATAAAGATAATTCCATGTTTTAAAAATATCATGGGGAGTTTGAAAGTTGTGCCTCTCGAAGGAATGGCGACTCCATAGCCTTTTCCAAAAGATCTCGTAAAGCTTCAATAGCGCTATTACCCTCTTTATCCGCAGTACTTTCCTCAGAAACATCACGAAGAAACCATTCCCGTGGATCAGAGAAAAACATCAAACGTTCTTTCGTAATAGGATGAGAGAATGCCAAAACAGCAGCATGTAAAAGATGTCGTTTTACTCGAAGTTGTGGGGCAATAGTACTTACCATACTCACACATTCTCTTGCTCTCTCAAGATAGATATCATCTGGAACTGCTCGACATCCACCAACTACACCAGGTGTAGAGGTCTCGTATAATTTATCACCAAGAACAGGAAAACCTATCTGAGCACAATGGAGTCGTATCTGATGTGTTCTTCCTGTAAGAATATCTACAGAGGCAACAGAAACACCAAGTGTCTTATCGCTACTAAGAATACGAATCCGAGAACAGGCAGATCGTCCATGACGTTCTGGATTCTTCTTTACACTAGCAGGAAAACAAGTCATTTTGAGTTTCTTTAATTTTGTGTGATATTGCGCCTCTGAAGATGAAGCTGGTATACTCTCAGAAAGAAGACCTATACGATCACAGACAATAAAAACTGCACCCACAGCAGGTGCACCTTCCAAAACGGCTATGTAAGATTTTATAACAACTTTATCTCCAGTAAGAAGTTCTTCAAATGTGTTTAAACTCATTTCTTTATCATCATCATCATCATCATCATCGATATCTGTTAGTTGTGATACTTTGGTTGTAAGCGTTTCCGATTGCTGTTCAAACTGCATGGATAAAAGTCTTGCGGCATTAGCGTTCTTTGCCAAGACGACAAGACCAGATGTTTCTTTATCTAAACGATGAACAGGAAAACACATTGATGCTTCTGTATGATCTATCCTTTCATCATTCCCATCATCACTTCGTTTTCTTTTCCCCTCACGTGTACTTTCTCTTCCAACATCAGCGGCATCCCGTCGCTGCAGAACTCCCACTAGTGTATTCCCCGAGTATCTTCCTCCCTCCGCCACAGGGAGATTGCCATTCTTCACACAGACAATCACGGCCGCATCCCTGTGGGGGATCTTTATATATTCATCCACCACCGGCTCCAATTCCCGCGGCGGGTTGAACTCAATCTCATCGCCCTGCTGCAGAATGTGTGCGGGCTCCACAGCGGCGATGCCCCGCACGGTGAGATGCCCGGCGGCGATGTGTGCGGCCCACGCGGCGGGTGTGAGATAAGGAAAGCGGGCGGCGAGAAAGTCGAGAAGTGTCGACGGCGGGGAAGTGCGGCAGCGACTGTAGCGTATTCGCCGGCCCATTTCACACCCACCACTAAACTGATGAGAGAAAAATAAAATAAATAAAGAGAAAGAAGAGAAAAAAAAAGAAAGAAGAGATACATGTGTATTATTATTATTATTTTGTTGTTGCTTTCACCATTTGGTCCCAATATATGTAACTTTTATTTATTTATTTGCGTTTGTGTATATATACATATATATATATATATATATATATACATATAATATTAAAAGCAAGCAATTGTAAAAGAGGGAGGAGTCGAAGTTGAGGAAAGAGTAATGAGAAACTGTATGACTATACTTCTTTTACAGTAGATAAAAAAATAATACAACGGTTCTACGTTCCGTACTATTTGTTTTTTATTTATTTATTTATTTATTTATTTTTCTTCAATAAAGCACCGATCTGGAAGAGAGGAATATTTACTAGCAAAAACAGAAACAAATAAAAACCATAAAAAAAAAAAAAACGAACAAATAAGATACACCTATTTATATATCATCTTGTATTGATTGTATTGATGCAAGAAAAAGCTTCCGCTCAAGTTCAAATTTCCTTGACAATGACTTATCAATGTTATCATCAACACCATTTACAAACAAAATATCACGTTTATGTAACGACAAGTGTTTATCATCGTTATCTCCTTTTTGGTTATTTGATGATCCCAGAATCTCATCGAGAATATTTTGTCGCTTTTCCTCATCTGATACTTCCTGTGAGGGTTGAGGAGTACGGTTATTGTTGTTAGGGTTACTACATTCAAATGCAAATAGTTTCTCTCTTTTATTCTCTAGTACCTTAACATCCGAGTTAAGTGAAGAGGGAATATTAATCTCTGCATTTCCATTATCTGGTATATCATCATCATCATCAATTATGATAATCTCTTGTTTTTCTTCTAGTACTAAAGATTCACTACTACATTTTGATGAGTTAATATCAATAGAATCAACATCTTGTTTTTTTTTCATTTGGGGTATCTTCTAGAATAATCAATTTCTCTTTATCTATTCCATTTTCATCATTATGAATAGCTGTAGATACTATAGAAGTGGAAAAATCATCTCCCTTTCCACTAGCCTCTGTAGTCTCAGAGAAATCATTCTCTGTTGGTTTAGAAGAGGAACTTGGCCTATTAGTTTCCTCATGTAGTGGTAAAACCATTGTAGAAGAATTACACCAATGAATATCATTTGGAATAATATAATCATTATTCTTATTACGATTATTATTACGACTATTATTATTATTATTATTATTATTAACTGTATTTCGTGCAGGGACTAATCCAGACAACACTGACCATGCACTGGATACCACAGGTTTCTTTAGAATTGACTTTGGTTGTTGTTGTTGTTGAGATGAAGGGATAAGAAGATCATCATCCTGCACAACTGGGGAAGCATCTCTGGAAACATCAGAGGCAAAAATTACAACGGCTCCATGACTCCTAAACCATTTTTGCCATTCTCGTTTTTCTTGAATGGATGAAACCATACATTCATACCGTTTTGCATGAATACTTCTCCTATCTGTTAATGAATCTTTTTCTCTATTTGAAGAATTATTACAAGCAGAACGCCAATTTGGGATATAAGGTTCTACATCTAAAAACATTAAATAATCATCAGATTGGTCTTCTCGTATTGTAGTGTATTGAAGATCAATACGTTGAGGAATACCAAGACCAAGTGATTTCTGAACCTGAAGTACCCATTTACTTCGATGTCGAGATAAGTAAATCATTTGATTTGGAAGAAATGAAGATTGATGTAAAGATCCCTTCATATATTTACTAGGTATTACATAATAATGTTGAAATCGAGCATCTGATCTTCGCATTAAAAGTTGACCTTGACAAGGTGGATCTAATGAAGCATCTAACTGTTCCATCATGGGTGAAGATGTTATCTTCTCATTATCTTTCTTTAATTTCATCAGTACTAATTGTAATGCTTTCTCCCACTTATCAGTTTCGAGTTCATTGTGAAAAACAAAAAATAGCTTAGATCCATATTGCCATGAGAGTACAAGTCCAACTGCTCCACTTAATTTATAACGAGAAGAATGAGAAGGAGGATTATTTTTCTTTCCCAAATCATTCTTTTCACCTGTTAATTTATCATTATAAGCTACATAAACAGGCGCAGCAAACACATGTCTCTGTACAGCTTGAAGATCACTTAAGCGGAAAGTAACTTTTGAAGATATTTCATTATCTGTATCTTCTGGTATTATAAATGGTTCATCACGATGACGTTCTTCTTGATGTTGATGTTGATGTTGTTTCTTCCATAGTATAAGATGTCCCTGTTCACGAAGTGTTTCTGGAGTGTAATGAAGTTCAAGATATTGATCAAAACACCAATCTCCTTCTGTTGTTGTAAACCACAATGTCACTGGAGGTAAAATGGCTGACTTCCACTCTAGAACCGTACTGCGCATATGAACAGGAGTTGATGATGCTTTCATTTTTCAATAATACCTAAGTAACCACGTATATATATATATATGTATATGTTTTATTTTCCTCTTGTGTGCACTTCTATTTGCTGTATTAAGCAGCTAGAGTACAAATGATAGTTTTTAAAGGAGAAATAAAAAGGAGAATAAAAAAAAAATTCAATAGCATGATTATAGCAAGAACAAATATATCATACATCTACAGACATATATATATATATATAAGGAATTGTTTTTCTTTTAGTTTCACTACAACCTAGATATACTATACCTATTGGTTCTGTAAATTTCTGCTACTACTAAAAAAAACATTCCCAATGTGTGGCAAAGAATGGGCTACTGTTCATTTCTTCTATCAATTTGTATTTTTTTTTTTCCTTCTTTCTTTTCTTTTTTTTTTTTGCTTTTTTTTTCAAACAAATAATAAAAAAAAAGCCCATATCATTTCTATTGATGTAAGTGTTTCATAAAAAAAAAAAAAAAAACACCTCTCTTAATATTTGACAAATGAAAATAAAAAACAATAATAATAGAAAAAAAAAACAAAAATAAAAAATCATTCACTTCTCTATCGATTAACATAAAGTGATTCATCTCCACTCAACCTAAAGTGAATACGCGTTTCTCCACTACTAACGCTTCGAGTGTGATGAGATTCAGGAACTAAATATTCTATAAGTGCGTTAATAAGATCTTTAACGACATTAGATGGAATACGGGCTTTTAAGGCATTCAGATCAGATCGAAGATCCTCCGTTCCACCATTTTGTCGAGGTCTTCTATACAAACCAGAGACTTCCTGCACGTAAATTGGATCTATAAAGGCCGGCACACGTAAAGAGACTTCACCAGCATACCCATCAGAACCAGTAAAATACTTTCGAAGTAATACTGTATGGGGTTCATTACTGTCAAAAGGTAAAGGAGCCGTTAATTCTCTCTCTGGTGATCGATCTAATGAGGCTTTCACAATAATTCCATTACCAACAGTAGTAGAAGTAGAAGTAGTAGAAGTATTATCTACTTGTATAGAAGAGTTTTCAAGACCAATAGACCAAAGAGATATCATCATGGGAGGTAAAACAAATCGTTGTTCAAATACAACATTTCCGGAATCATCCAGTAATTGCACATGAACTCTATGTTGAAATACAGGATTCATTTTAGCAGTATAATCCGATTTACCAGTATCTCCAGTACTGATACCATCAACATTACAAACAATACGAAGTTTAGATGGACATACAAAACGAACATGTACTTCTTCTCCAACTTGTGAAACTGTAGTATCCAAAAAGCATGATGATGGAAGAAATGATGCTACTCTAGTTGTTTCTATCGGTTCTGTTCCCATTAATGTAACTTGTGTTTCTGCACATGGTGCTCCACTTTCAGGATCTCTGGCAATAATGTGAACACGATGTGAAGATCCTGGTGGAAAAGCGTAACCTTGTGGTATATCTCCACCTTGTAAAAGTTGCATAAATCCTGTTCCATCTACATCTACACTAAGTCTACAAGGTCTTTCAGTTCTAATATTTTTTAAACAACCACCAGTAGATGTAAATTGAATAGCATCTATTGGTCCAGAAATAGAAGTTTGTGCACGTTGTCGTGCTAATTCATTTTCATGATCTCGTAACATTTGTAAAAGAAGATCTAAAAGAGCTCTTTCATCTGGTCCTTCTGTTGGAATAACGGACCAACGATTATATAAGGGTGGTGGTGATTCTTTATAAAATGCATCCACCAATCTTTTCGCAAATTCATTTTGTGAAGCTCTTATTGTTGATGGAGTTGCTTGAATAGATAGACGAATATCATTAATATTACTTGGAACATCCATTACAGATCCTGTTAAAAATTCTATGGGACGTTGATTATCTATAGAGATAACAAGTCGTGTATTTTCAGCAGTCTCCGCAGCATGTAAATGAATAAAACGTTTAGACATATCCAAAAGACGACGTAAACATTCTTGTAAAAGAGGTAAAAAGCGTTGTCCATTCCCTGATAAGGGAGATGTAATATTTCCCAACTCTGCATATACATTCTCTGGAGTACTGTTATGTCGTTGAAAGGCATCTAATAATCGAGCTACAAGTAATTCATCCAAATTCCTTTCCGGTAATGGATACTGCATACAGCAAGAAGCTGCCACTCGTCCAGTAGAAGGTGTAATTGCAGATAATGTTAAATTATGACCTCCAGGAACTTGTACACTTCCTCTAGCTCCAATAATACATGGAGTTGAATTATCTAGAGCCGCAGTTACACTATACCCTGCACATTGAATATCACTCACCGTATCATTCTGTTTAATAAAAGATATTGTAGGGGGTACTTTAAATAATTGTTCAGAAACAAAACCAACAATCGTATTGGATTCAGGAGTAGATGGAATAATACTTTGTACCCCACGACGAGCACTATCCAAATCTGGACATTGTAAAGCATTGGCAAGTTGCTCAATCCATGGTTCTCTCTGAAATGATGGAGTAACACCTGGTACTGCTGTTGTTGTTGGTATTGCTGTTGGTGAAATAGAAGAAGTTCGGTGTGGACCAATTTCAAAAATAGCAGAGGAACCATTATCTTGAACTGTAACAACATGACGTACACCACTTTCTAATGGTACACCTTGTTCACCACTCACAGGTGGATGATTATCCACAGCAACATGTGAAAAACGTTTTCCTTTAATAATTTGTGTACCTTGTGGATCTTCTGTTATATTAAACATTAATGGTTCTCGCTCTGTAGATGGTACCATAGAATTTTGTCTAAGTAATACACGGCCAGAGGAATCTGTAATTGTAATACGAACACGATGTTCCATTCTGTCAGGTAATGGAAGTTTAGCTGTACCATATCCTGCAACAGATGCCCCATTATCACCAACCAGTTCAATCATAAAACCATCTGCAATAGCTACAAATGAAAGAGGATTCATATCAGTTTCTACTGAAGGAATAATTCTAGTTTCCAATTCTGGAATACGATACATTGTAGAATCCACTGGTACAGGTTCTGTATAAGATGATGTAAACGTTCCTTGTGGTATATGATGAGTTGATGGTGCAGATAAACGAGGTAGTTGAAATGTAAATGGACCACTATTTACTTCTATTACGATAGGTCTATTTGGTGTTAAATGAAATGATTCTCCAGTTCCACTACAATAAATTACTGGATCCTCTTGTTTTCCAAAAGTAGTTTGTAATACAATAGTAGAAGGTGTTGATATCATAGTTGGTATGGATTGAAGTGAAGGACGTAAGGGAGGTCCTTTTTCTACAACCTCTAGTGAGCACTCCTTTGCTTGAATAGGAATAGCATACCATCCATTTTCAGGGTCTATCCTTCTTCCATCTACTTTTAAAATAATATTATCTACCAATCGAGGATCTAATGGTGCCCGTAAACGTAATACACTTTTTCCTTCACTTCCACTTAATATCATTTTACAATAATGTTTTGCATTACCTGCTTGTACAATAGCAGTAAGGTGATACTCATGACCATCTCCTGGTACTGGAACTGGAACTGCCCCTGGTCCTGTAGGAAAAGTTACTGTCTTTGGTGGTTTATTATCCACACCGAGTTCACATTGAATGGTTTGTCCTTTACTTGGCTGTAGTTTCTCTATCGCGAGATTAGAACCCGTAATGCGGAGCAGAAGACTAGTGATAGGCTTTCCTCCCGCACCGCCGTGTCCGTGATTGAGTGGTGGTTCCATCCTGTACTCTCCTCTGAATGGATAGCCAGCGTCATTCATATTACACCCTGCTGGGGGAAACCAGCGTCTTACCGGCATTCTTTAATAATAATGCTGCCCCCCTTTTTTGTTTTTTTTTTCGTTTGATACGATTTTATAATATATACGAAAAGAAGAAAGAAGAAGGAATAGATAAAAAAAAGAATGTGTGAAGATAAAGAATAACGGGTAGAATTAGAAATAAAGGAAAAAAAAAAGAAAGAGAAATAAATATAGATAGGTAAAACCTTTCGTTGCTTTTATGATTATTATTATTTAGATTTGGAATTGTTTATTTATTTAACCGCACATCAAGAGAGAATGTAAACAAAAAAAAAGAAATAATAATAATAATAATAATAATAATAATAATAATAATAATAATAATAATAATAATAATAATAATAATAATAGTAACAAAAACGCCACTTGTAGCATTACTTCTGTTTTAATGCCTCCACACGTGTGCGGATGAGTTCAAGGGTGGCTGCCATATCCTCTAATGTGTTATTTTCCCTCACCAAGACGATATCCTCATCATAAGCCCCACGAGCCTCTTCCTCACAAATGCCTTGAATCTCAACTTCCATGTTTTCCCCCCGCTTCGCCTCGCTGTAGTTGCGGGCGGTGAGACGCTCAAACAACACCTCCGTGGCGGTGCGCAGCACAACAACGATGTGAAACCAGCGGCGTGGGAAGAGTTCACTGGAGTGATAATCCACAACGTGATTGCCTTTACCCATCATGAGGGGTTCCATGTAATCCAGCAGGCGATCCTCATCTCGTTCCTCTACAATGTGTGTGTCGAGTTCTTTATCATATGAGGTGTAGAAGCCATTATCCCGTACGAGTTTACCAACTTCCAGGTGTGTGAATCCATCAAGTTCCTGTGCGATCAATTCACACATGGATGTCTTGCCGGTACCGGGTGTGCCCGTGATAAGAATATTAATACCTTTAGGGGTTTCCATTTCTCTTCTGATGAAGTTATTTTTAGATATATATATATATGTGTGTGTAGTAGCACCTTTAAATTTTGTGTTTTGTATTTGATTCAAATAAGAATAATGACGTATGTACAAAAAGAGAGAAATAATAATAATAATAATAATAAGCAATATTAACACACAAGATAACATAAACGTTTACTTCACCACATATATACAATCAATATTACGAATGTATGCATGCAATAATTGGTAAAAAAAAAAACCGAAAAGGAAATAAAGCTGCATAGAAAAGAAAGAAAAAAGGGAATAAAAAAAAACTAGTTTTGATCAGATTCACAAGAACAAAAAATGTCTAATCACCTGAGAATAGATAAAGTACAGAATAACAACATCAAAAAAAAGTGTACTCTTTCGAATTCATTTACTATATATATATATATATTTCCTTTCCCTCTTCCTCCTCTTTCTTTCTCTTTTTATAGCCTCTCCCCCTTCTCAAATAGCAAAAGGACACATTTACCAATTACTCTTTGGTTGAATGTGTGTCATTTTTTCACGTTGCCGCTGCTCTGCGCGGAATCTCTCAAACTCCATTTCCATACTCGCCTCATGTGCACTTTCTTCCTGCAGCGGCGCCCCACGATGTTGTGCCCACATATCAAGTGACAATCGCTTCATTTTCTGCAGTTTCACGGAGGCCAAACGATGACTGCGGGATTCCCGGTGTTGCATCCAATTCTTCTTTAATACTGCCAAATGACAAGTAACGCACCACGTCTGATCTTGCGGCAGTAGTTCCCGCGCTAACTGCGATGGTCGGAGCTGACGGCCAATGTAGCCTTTCTGTCTAAGCATCACCCCTCGCCTTCCACACACCCCACTAGACCCCTCTTCTAGTACTGATCATATATATATATAGGAAAAAGGAAAAGGAAAAGAAAAGAAAAAGACATAAAAATTAATTACATGAGAGAGAAATAAGAAATAAATAAATACAGAGATGGTAAAAAAAAAGAAAAAAATAAATAAATAGAAGTATTGTGATAGAGAATAAAAGTAAAGTGAGAAAAACAATATACAATTACAGTTTTCTTTTTTTTTTTCCTTGTAAAAGGAAGAGGCATTCTACGACACTTCCAAGTACTGCCATTATGTGTAGTATGCAGAAAAAGTATTATTCTTAATGTGAATCGCCTCCAAATATTTTTTTCTGTTTTTTTTTTATTTTATTTTATTTTATTTAGTTTACACTCTTTGAGAACTCATTAATGTCTGTACTCTATGAACTACAAAAATGTGAGACAGAGCCACAAACATATGCATATGCAAACAAGAATAATAATAATAATAATAAGTCTTGTCTCCATAGTATCAACGACTATTATCACCATCCTCAAAATCATAATAACCATCATCATCCTCTTCATCCTCCTCATCGTAAGAGGATGAAGAGGAGGAGTTAAGACAAAACTCTGGCAAACACTGCTGTGTGATTATAATAGGGGAACCATCCACACCGTCAAGTGATGCTGTAAAACGCCTTCTATCACGTTTGACACTATCTCCAACAAAGATACCATCACCAACAGCAGATTCTTCTTCTTCTTCCTCCTCTTCTTCTTCCTCATCATCCTCATTATTAATATTATTATTACTAAAACCATCATCATCATCATTTTCATTTTCACCATTTCTTTTATCCTTGACACTGGAGAGATCATTAAATCTCAAAGGCGTGGTGGATGGAAGTGTGTCATCTTCATTCATACTTCGCACACAGCCAGATGACCTGAAGCAATCCTCATCATCAAGATAATACGACTTTAGCGCACTGTTAGCTTCTCCCAACTCCACGGTACTATGTGAATTTATATGCTGCGTAGGAGAAAAAAGATCTACAAGGGGAACGGTATCATCATCATGATAATCATCCTCCTCCTCATCATCATCAAAGCCAAATGTCGTCCTTCGCATCAGTAATTGCCGTTGCCTTTCCTGTTTATGCCGCCAGGAGGTAGTACCGTATACTTCACCCTCATCGGAGTTATCCAGTGCAATAGCAGTAGCCGTATTACCCGAATCCCGAGTTAAACAAACAGTACTACCACCTCCTACAGTAGATGAGACTTCTGAGAGAATAATTAATGTTCCAAGTTCAATATTATAATCATTTTCATATTCCTTCTCATCATTGCCGTACCGTTGCCGCTTCACACCAGCACCAATCACCGGTGAGGTGACAATATCTGCGCAAAGGGATGAGATTTTCCAACTGAGATGTCGAACCAGTTCGCAGGGTAAAATACTTGCCCCTGTTACTCCATCAAAGAGTCGATGAACGTGAAGATTATATCGCCGCAGTCGTTCAAAAATATCTTCAAATCGTTGATCAGCCGTAGTTCCTATACGGAGTACCCGTTCCCCCACCTTTAACTCAATATGTTGCTGTAATTGTGTATTATCACCATAGGCATTATCTGAGGCATATGCATATACATGATCTCTACCAATAAATGGACGGGATATAATACCATCCTTTTTAATAATAGGAAATACATGATCTGTACTCTTTACCATGACACTATAAAAAAAACAGGATAAATTTTTTTCTGTCACCTCCCAATTATCATCAACTGTTTCGTAAATAATATTCTCATCACTAAAATCACGATCCCTTTCTCGTGTAAAGTTACGCACTACAATTTTAGGGTACTCTTTTATTTTAGTTTCAGTAGTTTGAACTTTCACTGAATCTACATGATTATCACCATTACTGCAACGAGAGCAATAGTAAGCACCGTTGAAACAACATTTTCTATTAGTATTATCATTATTACAACAACTACTACTATTGCTATTCCTCTTATCATACACAGAACTAGGGACTGCATTAAGTGACTCTAATCCTCTCTTTAACGTATACTCTTCTTCTACAGTCTCTGTTGGGTGAATAACAAAATATTGATTTAATCGGTATTCCAATCCTGCTGCTAAATCTCTGTAGGTCATACTACCCCTGTAGAATGGAATCATAACATCACCTCTGTAATCCGCAGCTGTACCGTAGCAACTGCGATTTCCCGCTTTGGTGGTTGTTAGTGTGGGAGGTGGACATTGGTAGAGACTCACACACACCGCGCCGAGGGACACGATGGCTTCTTCCCCATGCATGCATAAGTTCTACCCACCACTATTCTTTGCACGTATAATAATAATAATAATAATAATAATAATAATAATAATAATAATAAACCTCCTAATTAATATTTACCACCAAGAGCAATTTCTACACTAGCCCCTAAAACAAGTATGGAAAGAAAAAAAAAGAGGGGGAAAAAAGAAAAGTAGAAGAGATAATAAAAGCAACATCGTATAATAAGAAACCAACAGTCAAAAACAAAAAATATATATAAAGCAATACACATACATATATATATAACTTTTATAAAAAAGAAAAAAGAAAGAGAAACTTTACCTCTTATTTACCATTTCTTCCTTTTTCTTTCTGGAAGTTACTCTCAATTTTTTTTCTTTCTCTTGAAAAATGCCTTATCCCTCTTTCACTACATAAGCTTCTCGCTAAACACACATAGAAATGAGGCAAGCAAGTGTTTGATACATGTGGAGGAAGATGAAAGAAAAAAAGAAAACACACACACATAATCAAACAAAAGCATATATATATATATATATGTACCGTCAAGTAGCAGAAGGTTCTTTTTTTTTTTTCTTTCTTTAAACATAAAAGGGTAAGGAAATAATAATAATAATAATAAAAAAAGGGTGTTGGGTTGAAAGCTTGTTATTTATGCATCACACAAACACGCTCACGCACCCACAGAGTGACACACCAAATTCGGTGAGGACTTCCACGTTGCGTTAATATTGATCTGTCTAGTAATAAAGCGCGCATATTTCCATCGCTCAGACTCATTGCTGGCGCCAATACAAAAACAAGAAAAAGGGTGAAACAACTTTAGTTGCTTTGGTTTACACACTCTCTCCCCCCTCCTTCGGTTTATATATATATATATAAACTAAATCATTTTTGCGACAAAAAACAACAAGTGATGAGAATCGGAAAAAAAAAAACACGGATCTAGGGAAAAGCGAAAGATACAAAATGCTGCGATACTCACAAGCTTTAAAAAAAAAATAATAATAATATGTATTTCTATTTTTTTCTCTTGATTTCCCATCTCAGAAGTACATCCATTGCAAAAACGTAGAAACAGAGCCACAGAAAAGCAAGGGGACCTTCGGAAATCAGCACATTCACAAATAAAAAAAAGGGTGAAATTATTCACCGTCTATGCATTAAATTAATAAAAGGGGGATGTAAAAAAAAAAAAAAGTGTAGGTCGTGTAGAAGTGAAACCGGATGTATTTTTTTTTTTCTTTTCAAAATTGCATCTAACAAGAATAAATAAAAGATAAATAGAACAAATCATCACAAACACAAATAGAAAAACGTATATATATACGAAGATAAAAAAAAAAAAGGTCTTGTGAGTGTGAGTACTTCTACCATTCCCCGAATACAAAATTCATTACATATATTTCTTTTTCTTTATTTTTTTTTTCTTTATTTTTTTTTTCTTTATTTTTTTTTATTTTTTAACTTTCTCTCCAAAACAGCAAAATAGAAATTACTTGGTGATAGCTGTGAAATAATACGGCAAGACAACTTCTCTCCTTGCTCGAACAGGACGAGCCAATATCTCTGGACTCAACTTCGCCTTGCTGGGATCATCAAAGTACGTCTCCGCATCAAAGTAGCGTAGGGCTTCCTTTCCCCAGCCTGGAGGTCGTGGTTTATCTTCTACTTTCTCTTCATTCTCCTCAATAAGCCGCCGTGTGGACTGCGCTACTGGCGTTCTGTTGACCGCCGCATCATCAGCCACATCATACATGAGTTTTCTCTCCACAACAACGGGCTGTGATGCCGTGGTGCCATCCGCCATTTCACTCAATCGTCTCTTGCGGCTTACGGTGGAGGTTTTGCCTTGCCGAGATTTACTGCTGCCTGTTGTTTGTGGGGTTATCTCTGCAGTTGCAAGGACAGCAGGAGCCGTGCGTGGTTCTTCTTCTTCCTCTTCATTCTCACGCATCACCACAGTACCACTGCGGCGTGATGTACAGTCGCCCGAGTGCAGTTCAGCATTCTGTTTATCTTCTAACGAGTACAGAATTCTCGAGATGGATGATCCAGCATTTGTATCTATTTGCTTTTTCACCTCTTCTTCTTCCTCTTCTACTTCCACCACCATTTTATCCTTATTTCCTTCTTGAGCTTTTCGCTGAGCTTCTTCTTGTAGCTGTTTCTCTCGTTTTTTGGCTTCTCGAATGAGTCGTGGTATCCTGTCAGGTGAAGCAACGTAATTATCAGGGAAATACTTTTCCGCTTCAGGGCCCCAACCAAGGCGACGAGGTCCTTCCACTGCAGGAACTACTACTTCTTCTGCAGGTAATTCATTTTTCTGTGGTGGTTGTATTTCTGCATCTTCTTCCGCCACTTTAGATGAGGATGTCGTCTTCTTTTTATTAGCAGCAGTTGTAGTAGTAGTAGTAGTAGTAGCAGAAGTAGTAGTAGTCTTCTTTGGTTGGGCTCTACTCATGAGTTTATTGGGACTTGCAACGTAGTTATCGGGGAAGTACTTTTCCGCCTCCGGACCCCAACCAAGTCTAGATCCTGATGTTTTTTGCACTTCTGCAATACCACCTGTTGTACTATTAGTATTACTCTTTTTATCTACAGAAGTAACATTAACAGTAACCGGTTCAGTTACTCCCTTGGATGAGGAGGTTGTTGCTGTCACTCTTTTAGACTTTGTTGTGGCAACTGCAGATTTCTTTTCATCATCATGATC